TTTTTTTTTTTTTTTTTTTTTTTTTTTTTTTTTTTTTCCGTATGGGGCTGTACGTACGTCCGTACGTACGACCGTACGTACGACCGTATGATAAACCCCCCGTACGTCGTACATAGTGTTACACAGGTTTAGCGGAGTCTCTAACACTGGAGCTGAAATTCCTCTTCTTTGTTAAGGGGTTAAGCCTCCAACATTATTGAATCCATATCCATCTGATTCCGACTGGGTTTGAGCTCGTGACCTGGTTATCAATGGGTACATGTGTCTACCTTTTTTTTTTCCCCGAAGAAAGGGCTGTCCAATATGTATTTTCACTTTTTTTTTTTTTTTTTTTTTCACCTAGATTCCAGCTTTGCGCTGTATTTCAGCTGTTTGTGGGTGTACGAACCGAGGTAGACCCGGGGCCAAGTCCCACTAGCAGCATTGAGCTACCTCAACGCCTGAATCTGGATGTGTTTGTGGAGAGGTCCGGTTGAGGAAACTCAAAGTAATTTCTCCACATCTCCACAAACACGTCCAGATTAAGGAGTTGAGGTAACTCAACATTGTTGGTGGGACTTGGCCCCCATTGGTGTGTCTACCATGTCATTCAGCCACAAGGGCGGCGGTCATCATAAATCCTGATTCATCCTTCTCTAACACGTGTCAGGCAATCTGAGGCAGCAACAAACACACATCACACAAATCACAGGAGGACGACATTAAAAAAAAAAAAAAGGATAATGCACAGGGCAATTTGAATTTTTTATCTTGCCTCTTGGCATTTTAAAAGGAAAAAATGAACCAGAATTAACATTCTGAAGTGAAGCTGGGTAAGGCTCCCAGTAAGGTGACTCTGGGCGATTATGAGAACCCCAACCTCAAACTTTTATATTTGGAAAAAAAAGGAAAACAAAATGGGGGAATACCAAAGTGAAGCCTCTCTCTTTTGTAAAAAAAGATATTGCAGTATCTAATGCACACAATAAGGATACGTGTGCTATGAAATTAAGGAGGTAGAGTGCACTGCTTCCAAGTTGTTTGAAATCTTAGCACGCCACATGCATCAATAAAATCAATGTGTTGTTTTGACAGAAATTGTCATGTCCCTACTCCAAAATACAACATTGAATACCATAGTGAAACCTATTGTTCTTTGCATCTCTATCTGAGAGAAAATATGCAGGGTAAGGACTCTCTCTTTGGGCATCTCTCTCTTTGGGCATCTCCCTCCCTGTCTCTCCAGCTCTTTGTGCCCTTTTAAGCATCTCTCTCTCTCTCTCTCTCTCTCTCTCTCTCTCTCTCTCTCTCTCTCCCTCTCTCTCTCCAGCTATTTGTCCCCTTCTAAGCATCTCTCTCTCTCTCTCTCTCTACATGACCCGGCGGTGGTTCGTGGTTAATTCTACGAGGTGTGGTTCGACTTACTTCTACGGGCTTTGGTGTTGCCTGGTGGCTTGGTTTCAATTTCTGCTCTCTTCCCTTTTGTTTTTTTTGCTTTTAATTTTGAATTAATAATTTATATTTTTTTTCAATAATTGTTTTGACCTGTTTGTAGATTTTTTTAGTTTTCACCACTTTAATTTGTTCTTGCTACTGAAACCCTACGTTACCGAACGTACACATACGGGGCCTTTCCGTACGAAACGTACAGATAATATCTGTACGGGAAGCTGTACGCCCCCGTACGATCCGTACAAAAAAAAAAAAAAAAAAAGTCATCCAAAAAATCGGAAAAACATATATGTGATGTAAAATCCCAGGACAAGCAACATTTGTCGGAGCTTCATCTGCAGATTCTTATTAGAATTGGAGAAAAAAAATAAAAACAGTAAAAAAAAATTAAAAAAGTCGTACAGGCCTTAAGTACGAGTAGCGTACAAGTAATGAGTACAACTTGTACTGGTACGGGGGTGAGTACGAATCGCAACGTTGCTGAAACCCTTAGTACACTTTATGAGGTAACTTCTTTCTAGAAGTACTAAATGGTGCCTACCTTGGTCTTAGAAAATCCTTCTCCTCCCCCCTTCCTCCTTCCCCCTCCCCCCCCTTCCTCTCTCTCTCTCTATGTCTCTCTATCTATTTATCTATCTATCTATCTATCTATCTATCTATCTACCTATCTATCTATCTATATGACACGATGGTGGTTCGTGGTTGGTTCTACAAGGTGTGGTTCGACTTGCTTTTACGGGCCTTGGTGTTGCGTAGTGGCTTGGTTTCAATTGCTGCTCTCTTCGCTTTTGTTTTTTTTTGCCTTTAATTTTAAATTAATAAAATATTTCTTTTTCCAATATTTTTTGTTGACCTGTTTGCAGATTTTTTTAGTTTTCACCACTTCAATGTGTTCTTGCTATTGACAACCCTAGTACATTTCTTTTATGTAACTTCTTCTTAGAAGAACTAAATGGTGTTTGCCTTGGTCTTAGAAAACCCTTTTCCTAATCTCGAATACGCGTTGGGATATAAAGTAGCAAAATCACTAAGTGAATCCCGATAATCCCGAAGCGTATTTCGGTAAGGAAATACCGAATACGCGTCGGGATATAACGTAGCAAAATCACTAAGTGAATCCCGATAATCTCGAAGCGTATTTCGGTAAGGAAATCCCAAATACGCGCCGGGATATAACGTAGCAAAATCACAAAGTGAATCCCGATGTCAGCGCGAATAACGTAGCATGTGTATTGTTATAAAAACTTGATGAACCGAGGGCTAACCTTGTTGTGTGCCTGCTTGCTTTCTCTCGCCTGTTGTGCAGGTCTGACTTTTCGAAGACGGCCATGCAGAGGGGCGGGAGGGGCGCACGGCCACGACAGGGGCCTCATGGAGCATCAGGAGGGGATGACTCGCGCAAACCGGCTGGGAGGGAGTCTACGCCTACCTTCGACGATGGTAACATAGAGCTTTTTCTGGACTCCTACCAGGCACATGCGACACGGAAGGGCTGGTCTACCTTAGAGAGGATACGACACCTAAGGGGAGTTGGGCGCTTTGAGGAGCCTATTGCGCACATTCGAGAGGAGGGGTTGACATGGCAGGATGTGGAGGCGAGGATGCACATGCTGAGGGCTTCGTCGATGGGACCGGATGGATTGCCTATTTGATTGGAGGAAGGCAATGCGGAGGAGTTTATTCCGGCCTATGAGCAGTATATGCGCGACCAGGGGACTGGGCAAGAGGAGTGGATGCAGATGCTGCCCCTCTGGACACGGAGGGCGGAGAGGTCATTGGCGAGGCAGATCCGGGACAGGGCACACGATTGGGAGGACTGCCAAGCCCAGTTGAGACAGGCATTTCGACGACTGGAGCCCGAGAGGCCGGAGCCCAAGGTGGAGAGACGACAAAGGAGTAAGAGGCCGCGCGGCCAAGAGGCGAGAGGGACCACTACGACCAGAGGAGGCCAAAAGGCCTTGGCACAGCGAGAGGGGCCAGCAGAGGCCGCCCAAGCGGTGGGGCCAGTTCAGGCCGTGGGGCCAGCTCAGGCGGCGGAGCTACCCCCTACCTATGGGCTCGAGCAGGTGGAGTTTCGCCGAATCACGGGCAGTGATCTACGGGGCCCGTCACCAACGTTACCAGAGGGGGGAGGGGCGGTGCCGTTGAGGACGCCGCTCGACAGGTTGGAGGCTCATCTCGATGCGTCCCAGTGGGGGGCGTCACAGCTGGGAGCGGACCAGAGCGGACCGGCACGGTATGAGCCAGTGGAGGATGAGTCAGAGGAGGAGCCACCTGAGCCGGGGCCTGAGGCGGGGTCTCGCGAACTCGAGGAGCCGCAGACTGAGGGGGTTATCACTGTTGGGGATGATACCCCTCCTCCCACCCCGATTCCAGAACAGGCACGGCAGTATTGGCCTGAAGGAATTCCTCAGTCGGACACCGAGGAGATGTTGGGGCCCCCACCGGAAGCTACTACGCCACCCCCGACGCAGGCGGAGCCAGAGGGGGGCGAGAGGGTGAGGACTCCTACAACTGTGGCGCCGCAACTAACTAAGTTTACAGGTGCACGCATGGATGTGGAGGTGCCGATATCCGGGGAGCCTCCGCTAGGGCCGCCACCCGCAGAGGAGGGGACAAGTGAGGGAGATCCATTGCAAGAGGGTCACGAGGCGAGGACAGGGAGGCCACCGGGGGAGACGAAAGAAGAGAAGCGCGCGAGGGTGCTGGTACACCTCGAAGAGCTATACCAGGAAAAGCTTAGGATGGAGGCCGCAGGAGAAGCGCCAAAGCCGCCAATTGACCCTCCGACGAGCGAGCAGAGGATTAGTGAGGCTTGGGCCAGCTATGAGAGCGAGAGGGATGCGGCTCGCCTGAGGTCGCGAGAGGTAGGACAGGGGAGTGCAAGATTGGACGAGGCACGAGAGACAGAAGACATGGGATTTTCAGCCGCCAGGATGGAGATGGAGCGTACAGACAGGAGGATAGGTGAGGTGGCAATCTCGTCCTTCCAGCGGTACTCCATGCTCAGCGATGAGTTGGCGGCCTCGAGGTTAGAGGTGGGACAGTTGTCCTCCCAGTTGGCGGAAGAGAGGGCAGAAAACCAGGCATGGAGGACCTGCATGGAAGCCAAGGAGGCGGAGTGGGAGAAGAGGCTTCAGGACATAACGGCGATAATAGAAAGGCTCTCGGCCACTAAGGTGGTCGACTGGACGGAGCAGAGTCGATATGGTATCCAGGGGAAGAAGATACAGGGGCTCTTTGGCCAGAAAGGAACGACGGAGACGCCACAGCAAGAGGGAATGGGGAAGGTATTCCTGGACCCAGCAGAGGCGGCAGCGAGGCGGGAGGCCAAGGAGAGGAGGTTCAACTTCAGGACTCCCGCGGATTTGGCCTCGCAGCAGGCCACCCCTATAACGATTGAGATCCCTGAGGGCGAGCCGGCGCAGGGACCCCAACCTCCTGTGGAGGAAGGGGGCCCCACAGAGGAGTCCCCTACGATCCTTTTGGAGGTGCAGGGGAGTGTCCTTACGGGAGTAGCAGCATCCACTGAGCCGGAGGCAATGGGGGGAGAGGCGTCTTGACTGGATGAGTTAGTGGCAGCTATGGAGTTGGACATGCCGTCAGGAGAGCATCAGAGACAGAAGACCCCAGAGCGTGTGCCAGAGATAAGGGAGCTGAGGACGCAGTTAGGCACTTGGGCCACTGGAGCTGACTCAGGAGAGCACATCGCAGAGCAGCAGCATGAAGTTATGAGCGAGCCAGCGACTGTCGTGACTCCCCAGCCCTCTGACCGGAATAGGGACGAGGAGGCGGCTGCGATGGGAGGAGTCCGCGAGGGTAGGCCACTGAGATTGCACACTCCAGCGTACTGGCCCGAGGGAGGTGAGGCGCTAGCAGGGCCGAGTACCCAGATGATGGAGGCGGGGCCGGCAGAGTTATGGAGTATGCCCCAGAGCCATGAGATGAGCAGAGAAACTAGCGAGACACCGCCGTTGCCTGGGTTCCAGAAGAAGAAGAGGAGGTGTCGAGGGAGATCAGACGATCAGTGCTTCTTCTGCAAGGACGGCGTACATAGAGCTCTTGAGTACCAGAAGTTCCTTAAGGATAAGGCGGCTGGGAGAGTAACAGAGAGTGGTGGGAGAATGTACGACAGGCAAGGGCGAGTGGTAGAGCGGGCTCCAGATGGGGGTAGGGCACAGTTATATAGACAAAACCAGGAGGCTATGAGTGAGTAGGGGCTGGTCCGTCTATATGACAATAGGATTAGAGTTCCTCTCTACGCAGAGGCCGTGATAGGGGTGTACATACTCTGAGTTAGTCAGGCGAGTCCCGTCTAGTTGTATATACATAAGTGGCGGTGTGTGATCGGCTTGAGCTTTATGTGTGATACGGTCTAGGGGATGAGACTTAGTTGTATAATATCTAYGATATACGTGACTTGCATTTCAATTGGGTGATTCGGATACTCTTACTTGTATCTTTGAGTAGGTTCTGAGAGTCCATGACACTTGGGACGTGAGTTTATCCTGCAGAGTGAGACAGTGGGGTGAGTATTTGAGTGTTTTCAGGGCAGGCATTTTGTTCCCAAATACACCCTACGAATTGTGTGTTGAGAGTTTGAGTTGAGTGTCGTATTGAGACTTGAGGGATATATTTTGCTTCCGAGTATATCTTTGATTCCAGACTCTGTGAGACTTATTCTTGTGACGATCACAATCACTCTCACTCGTGACAATCACAATCACTCTCACTCGTATGGTTTTATCCTAATGAATGAGGGCTTTATGTGAGAGATGTGTGGGATACATCTCATGTATGTGTGTTGTGTGATTGTGATTGCCGTCTACTCTTCGGTATACTCGTGCGGCCTGCCCATGGGCGGGCGGAACGGTCAGGTATAAGAGGAGGCAGCGCGGTCATTTTTGTGACAGATGTATGAGGACCCGGAGGGGTCTTGCGAGCCTATAAGGCTCGGATGCTTACCATGCTGAATGTTTATGGTTGAGTTGTGAAGGGGACCCATAAGTTGGCCCCTTAGTTTGAGTTGTTTGGCGTTTAAGTTGGGGAGACGGCCCATAAGAAGGCCCCTCAATTGAATTGTTCTATAATTGAGACCCCCTCGGATTATGGAAGGTGGGGATGTTGTTAATTGACAGCAGTGTAACCCAGGTCGCGTGATAGTCCATCCTGTAAAGAGAGGGGTGGCTGGGAGACCTGTTGAGAGAGACCCCCTTCATGTGAAAAATGGGTGATAGATTTAAGGACATGGTAAACAATGTTTGAATGATAAAGTCTGACGAGAGGAACCAGGGTTACGAGTTGGGATCATTGATGGAACTGAGAACGTCGCAAGTCAGTGCATAAAGATGTCGTGGGATGTATGGTCTGCTGTCTCTGATCAAGTCAGTAGGCCACGACCTCGTGTGATCCTAGCGGTGAAATTGTTTGTGATTGTGAGAAGGGTCCGTGCCCGCTATGTTGTCCCATAGGGGGTTGGTAAATACCCTTAAAAGTAGGGCCGATCCCTGCGTTGTCCCGCAGTGGCCCTGTGAGTTGTTTTGCGACGCACCGCCTAAACACCTGTGCTAATCCTAAGGCATACTAGGGAATACCAAGCTAAAAGGTAAAGGTTAGCACCCCTAGGGCGCAACCCCTATTGGATGCCTGCAGGCTTGCACAACCTGGTTGCGGCCCACGTCTACCAGCAGAGTAGGAGTTTACGAGGTTATGCACGCCCCAAGGAAATTACTCTGGTGGAATGGCGCGGGATACGAGTCGAGTTGTTTGGGCACCCTGATTGAATGCCTATCAGGAGAAAACCTATCGTTGCATAACCAACGAAGGGACTGCCGCTTAGATAACAATGTGGTAGGCCGTAGATCTGGCTCGATCAACCAGACTATGGTGGGTCAGGATGGGGACCTAGCATTTTTGTACTAGACGGCAGGAAGAGCTGAGAGGAGATTTATATATATATATATATATTGATTGTGAGGATTTTCGCGAGGGAGGCAAGAGTGCCTTTTGAGGTCTCGTCTAAGGCTCGCGTCCCCGTATGACTCTGCTTGCGAGAGAGAGTCTAACTGGGACACCCGGCGTTTGTCTAGGACGAAGGGGAAAGGACGGTTTGAGGTGGCCTTTGGGACTTATGTTGTAATATTGATGCGTAATACACCTGCGTCCTAGTGTCAGGACAACGGAAACCCAAGTTGAAACCCTGGCAGCATATAGTTATGTTGGCATGGAGTGTTGGAGGCCTCAACCCTGAGTCTGTCGGCTAATCGGAACTGGTTCCGCTCTCATCAGCATTTGGAGTGTGAATGAGTTTGTAGCCTTTTGATTTGGMGTAGCGACGGGGACGTCGCTTAATATAGTTCGGTAGGCTGTCGGCGCGAATACCCTTACAAGGGTATCCGCTCTGGTTTTCACAAGTGACAGAAAAAATGGGTTTGGTTGAAGTAAGCCGTGCGAGGCACGACCGCGTTCGGGGCCCGCCCCGACTAAGTAAGGGGGTATGTGGGCGCGCAGTTTTAAGACGCGCGTRTGATTTTTTTGATTGAGTGAGCGGCCGGTCTAGTCGACCRACCTYGACCGTGCTACGAGTTGTTTAGGGGGTGAAGACTCGGTTTTGTTGGCGTGCGCGACCGATGGTAGGACTGGCACGCCGGTAGGCATACGGGGYGGCCACGGCGGGGTCCAAGTAAGCCGGCGCGGGTGCCTGGCGTTGGCACGCCGGCCGCGACTAGGAGAGGAAGGCCCAGGCTGCTGTTTCCAGGCCTAGGCATGGCGCGGTATCACTTCATATCGAAGTTCGCGCTTCATGGCGCCAGGCTGGGGCATAGCCGTATAGGTTACGGTGGCGGACTACTACTATGGGGATTCAAGGATCGAGGCCATCGGACGTCAGCGCAGCAGCAGTGGCGGTGGAGGAAACCGAGGGGTTGAGGGCCCGACCGGGCTATCCCCCTCTGGTTTTATTAGTGGGGGTTTTGTTTAAGGTATTTTGTTTTATTTTTGTCTTTCTTTTTTATTCGTGGGCCCGTTTTGGGCTTAGGGCGTGATACCGCGGCTGGTAGTTCAGACCCTGGTGAGCCGCAGGGGAGTGTTAGCACGRCCCCGTAAGCAGAGGATGTGTGCAGATCGGAGTGGGGGCAGGGCTGCGGCTGAGGGTTRWCGAAGTGGCGGATGCCGTTACACGACGCGGTGTGGGAGGCCGGAGGGTGAACCCGGGCGCCAATGGGGCCAGATGTGGGTGGAAAGCAAAAGGGGCAGTGGCCACACCCTCTCATGCCGACGGAGCGGGGGTTAGGGAGGCGAAACGGCCTTTGGGACCACCGCGGGGCATTACCACGGCCGGGTCCGTCGCGACATCCGTTAGAATCAGAATGATACAAAGAAGGTCAGCCCGACTCCTAGGCGAAGATGATGTGTATAAAGCCGGGGTGACGTCAAGAGGTCGGGGACGAAGCTGGACGTAGATGGGGAAAGGTGCGTGCAAAAACGGGGGGGACTGTGTCCGCCCCACCCCCCACCCACTAGCAGGCCGAGATCGAGGAGGCTGGGTGGCTTTTACTACCGCTACGGGGCATCGCCCCGGCCGTATCACTGGGGTGTTGGTGGGAGATCGGGCAACGTCGGGGAAGGTAGTGTGGCCCGGGCGAGCGGGCGGGCCRCATAAGTAAGGGCAGCTCGGTGGTTGGGAGTTTTTTTTTTGTGTGTGCGGGAATCGGGCGGTGCCAGGCAGCGCGGTGTCGGGTTTTTGTTGGCGGCAACAAAGTAAGGAACGAGGATGAACCCGAACGGCGAATCGTGTTGGGTACATTCAGAGGTGAAGGAAAGGGGTGACGAGCGGCGGAGCGAGATAGCCGGACCGCGGATGAACTGGGGACGAGACAGTAAGGAGGCAGCGGGGGACCGTAGCGGATGACGACACCAAGGGAGCGAAGTGGGACGGAGAGAGGCARTGGACGAACTCGGATGGGGGTCGCAATCTGGTGAATGCGGAGTTATGGGAGGAGGGAGGAGGGCGCAGTTGGGAGAGCTCAGCCCGCTCGATCCGTGACGGAATCAAGCTGGGAAAGTGGCTGTTTGGGGGATTTGTGGGCATGCAAGTGTGATACCCGGGTTAGATTCAATGTTAGAATTAGCGGTTAGGCGAAAGAAGAGAAAGGGGGGGGCGTCGAGCTATGGCGGAGGAAGGTGGGAATGACGGGATTTTCGTCGCCGTCTGGCCNGCGGAGCGAGATAGCCGGACCGCGGATGAACTGGGGACGAGACAGTAAGGAGGCAGCGGGGGACCGTAGCGGATGACGACACCAAGGGAGCGAAGTGGGACGGAGAGAGGCARTGGACGAACTCGGATGGGGGTCGCAATCTGGTGAATGCGGAGTTATGGGAGGAGGGAGGAGGGCGCAGTTGGGAGAGCTCAGCCCGCTCGATCCGTGACGGAATCAAGCTGGGAAAGTGGCTGTTTGGGGGATTTGTGGGCATGCAAGTGTGATACCCGGGTTAGATTCAATGTTAGAATTAGCGGTTAGGCGAAAGAAGAGAAAGGGGGGGGCGTCGAGCTATGGCGGAGGAAGGTGGGAATKACGGGATTTTCGTCGCCGTCTGGCYRATTCCGAYGTGAGAAGACCCTATACCAAGGCTTTGGGGTGAGGCGAGTAT